GATGTCGGGGAAATGGGAAAGAAAGTTTATTGTCCACAATAAAGGAGTTTTATTGGCACTTGTTTCAGTTTTTCTTTTCATCACTGAATTTCCCAAATTACTATGATTGTTGTAATCACCAAAAGAAAGAAAAACTCTTTATCATGTTTAATTTAATGATTGAAAATAGGATGTATTTTGAGAGTGTAGCGGATGGCTACTTTGGTAAAGCCTGATCGACTCAGAAATTTCTATGGCAGATTCTCCAACATCTAGCTAGACTCTCACAACCAGCTAAGCCATAGCCCAGCTATAAGGGAAACAGACGTGTGGCACGGAATACGTCTATTCAGTACGTATATCGATAGCGAAGTGTCATGTTGGCAAGGCAATTAGTTATCAGATAACGCTGGCATAATTCGCACGAACATTAATAGCTAAATATTTCTGAGTAATATTTTGTAGCAGGATTTCTATTTGGTCATTGATGAAGTGTCCCACAAGAGGTCTAATGATATTTGATCATGTTCAATATTCCAAGTTTGTTTTTTGTTTCCAATATGATGGGAGTACAATAATTGCGCAGCATATTTGTGAGCATTGTTATATACCTTTCTAAGGCGCAAAATAGCTGCCACATCCCAGCATGCCCTAATTAAAGATCTCTAGTTAACATTTTAATATGCAAAGTCAATCCTTATTTGATTCAATAATTCACTTTCAGCATTTTCATAATCCCACATTTCGGAATCGATTCCCACTGGAGACAGTGGTGTTGCTACTGCCATTCGAGTTACGCACTTTAATGCCTTTTAAGGCACCAGAGGTCTCATCATCAGACGCTTTTTTTCTTTGCCGAGTAATTTTGCCTAAAGTCCTCTGAACAATGAACATTAATCGATTTTCCAAGGTGCAAGCGAGCATCGCATTAGCAAGCCTGAGTGTATTGAAATGTGCGTGTGTGTGTGGGGGGGGGTTGGAGAAGTGGGACACTTCTCAAGAAAGGGGGGAGGGAGAGGGCGTCTAATCGATAAGTAGTTTCTCCGCATAACATAGCTATTTCTCTAGCCCACAAAATCATCACCTTCAGTCCAGTTGAGGTGGTCTCCAAAACATGCTATAAACGCTTCGATTTCTCAGCTCTCTTTTAATAACTTTTACTCCCCTTTCGACGAAATTTGATTTTCGACTGGATTGACAAGAATAAGTCCGTTTATTTTCTTCACTAAGCTTTTGTTTTCTTTGGCTTTCACTGCAATGTTTTGTTCCTCCTCCACCTATGATGCCAACATACCAACCTCGACGAAAAATGGTAGAGTGAATGTAGTGATTTCCACGTGCTTAATGCACGAAACCCTCCTCTCGAATAAATGAGTTGCTAATGCTGTTTCGTATTCACTTTCAGCGAAGACAATCGATGGAAATGATATATTTTCAAGAATTCAGCGACCTTCTGAGCGACAGGTAAGAAGATATACCTTGGAATAGAATTTATGAATTTTCGCGTTTTAAGACGCTTGCTTACTTTTCATTGCAATTTTCACTTGTTAGTGATAATAAACTACTTATTTCATTTCAATTGATGAGTTACAAAATGGAAAATTAATGATATCGGTTACTTTCTTCAAGCTTAAAGTTAAAATTCATTTGCATATAGCGCCTTTTTCCAACTGACCCGACTAAATATAGTTGCCCCCAAGACGAGATGTCACTTGATGTCTCAAAATTTACCAACCTAACACTGTATTCGTCACAAAAGTACGATAATCATAAGTGCCATTTCCAGTTTAATTAATTGATGATACTTCTAAGTTAGCGCTATTGACAAAAACGTTACGGTTTGAAGGTTACGAAAACAGATCATTATGATACCATGTCAACTATCTGTCAGATACCAAACATTCCGGGTCAAGAAGATCGCGTTACCATGAAACTGGACGTGGCACACACGGAACATAGCCACCTGATTGGTCGGAGTGGTCATTGTGTCAAGGCCATGATGCTTGACACCTCCTGCCACATCCACTTTCCAGATTCAAATCGTGCTCCAAATGTTGTTGAGAAGAGCAATCAAGTCTCGATTTCTGGAAGACCAAATGATGTTGAACGAGCTAGAAAACGAATTAGAGTGAGTTTTCCTGCCTATTTTGAAACTAATTTATATTGCCTAAAATTTAACCGCTACTTATAACTTAGTTAGTAGTATATCTCGTTTGGTAAATAATTTGTTTTAATGTTGTAAACAGTGATACATCAATTTTGGTTGACTTGAATTGTTTTACGAATGCCGTTGGTGATACATGGCAGCCATGCCAAGGTGCATTAAATTAACCATCACTGATGCACATTCGATTGTGTGGTACGCAAATCGTACCAACTAATTACCTTCAGCATAGGGTTTACTCAAAGCAGCTTTAAGATGCGCTCACTCTAGGCAACTGTAGTGTTGTTATTTCTATTTTCTATAGAGGTTTGACAAAATTTGAGGTGTCTATTAAGAGAGACCTTGGGGAACTCATAAATCAAGGAATTATGATATATTCAACAAAATATGTTGTCATTAATTGAACAAGCATTGAGGACGCCAGATGAATAAACAAAGTTAAGACGTTACTGTCACATTAATAGTTGACACGAAATATTACGTCATGTCTATAGTCAAATAAGTCTCAGTTTAATTGATTGAATCCAAGACAAAAGTAGAGTAAATCTTGCAAAGTTATTATCTCTTAAAATTTGAATAGTCTATATTCATTTTATGTATTGAGCAACAATATCATGTTAGTAAGTGCTGAATATGCCAGTTTATCTTTTGGTAACCACCTGCAAACTGTGCGGCCATGTCCAACTAACTGAATTTGTTGAAGCTCTCACAGCACTCAAGCCTTTTAGAAGGAAAGTATAGCAACAATGCTGTTTCCTGCTCAGAACTAGCTAGGTTGGTGTGTCATTTACACCAATGAAAGACTTTTATTTGAATGGCATTAGTATTCCTCCTTTAATTTTCAGCAAATGTTGCCGCTAGTATATATCTTCACAATCCAGAACACCTCTTCACAAGCGTTGACTCTCTACCGTGCTTCCTACATCGTCCAGCACCTTGAGGTGAAATTTTCCGTGGAGGTGACCTATCGACATTACTTTGCCTTTCCCCTAGCTGATCTCATCTTCAGAAACCACCCAGCGGCAAAATTCCTTGCTTCAAGTAATACCATCGTCGTTTCTGTTCGTGGACTGGCGTTCTTCTCTCAGCAAGTCACAGAAGCAACCAGTATACTACTTGAACATCATTTTGGAAAAGTGGCTGTAAGATTTGATCTTAAACTTTAGTAAAAGAAAGAATGAATCATAACAAAATACTATTAAAACTCAAAAATTCAGACAAATTATAAAACTCACTATATTCTTGGTAAAGCTTTGGACAGATATCATCATTGAATACAGGCCAGCATTGAAATGGAATTAATGGAATGTATTATAATTTAATAAAATGAGATTCCAGCCATACCCATACAACTATATGACCATATGATTTAGCGTTGATACAGTGAACCAGTAAAAAAAGCAATTGGACTCTTAAATAAATAATGGCTTCACTAATAGCTATTTAATTTTGAATAGCTATTGAAGGACAGAGCTTCTTAGACCTGCTTAGTAAAGCCGGCCGTTTAATACGCCTAAGTAAACAAACGCAAGTTGAGGTTATCAATTAGATGTTGGAAAAAGTCTTATACCCTTGATTCTGGTGTATTTTTCCCACTAGGCTGAGGATCGTTGCAATCATAACTTGAATTTGTAACAAGAATGCAGATTGTAATTTTTGTCTTACATTGCTAAAACTGTTTTCATGCTTTATACGAAGGTCGATTTAAGGAGTTGATTATTATAGTACCTTCAATTGAGCTTCTAGCTATTTTTGGGCTGTCACAAATCAATTTTTTTCATTTTTTGAGTAACTTTATTGAAAAGAAAAATCTCAACAGAGAGTGTTTTACTTCTCTGAACTTTTCAGGAAGTGTGGTCAAACTTAACTGCATCGCAAACTATTTTAATATGTCCAATAGTTTCACCAAGTCATACATTAGCTTATTTTGGCAAGGATTCATTTCATTCTTGTGTCGACATTTTTGAGACTTATTCCATCCAATAGCCTACCTAAATAAATGAAAATTTTGACATGCTTATCAATTAGATAAAAGACAGCATAATTTCGTTATATTAATGTGCTCATCAAAACTACCTTAATGGCATTGTAAAGTTGCTATTGATCCCATTTATTAATAAATGGTTTTAAGAAGGCAAATTTGTTAAAATTATACCGAGCCCTTACATTTTGGTTCATAAATTGAAGACCCTGCAAGTTTCAGCGATTGCCTTTAATCGAAATGCTAATTTTTTGGAAGGCCTGTTTTCTTCTAGTCTTATATTTAATGCAAGTTGGAGAGTCCATAAGTAAGCTATGACCTTTTGCAAAAATTTAAATAAATGGATAGACTTGCCAATTTATCCGATTGAAGCTTTTTGGAATGTACATTTTTTTGCAACCCTAAGACATTGAACCAACGGCTGTGAAAGTATTCGCAATTGAAAGAGAAGTTAAATGGCGGGTTCTTTGGAAAATACGTATTATCTTCAGGTCTATTTAGGGTTATATTGACCAATACGATATCTATTAATGCTAACTGACGCATTAGAACTCTACTCCGCCTCACAATATAGTTTCTATTTCACATCGGCAAATACACTTATACATGTCCTCAAATTACTAGAACTATTGATGGAGTGTGTGGGGTAAATAAAACACTATTTCTAAAGTATTATATAATCACCACTGAATGGATATTATTCATTCATCTTAAAATCCAATTGATTATTGCACATAAATATTTTAACTACTATTTTGTGATTCCCTCAGCACATATACCATCACTTGAAATAGCTGGGAAACATTTGTTGAAGTCGTGTTTATATTTTCAACATTTGCCATGGTAATTTCATCCCCACCACTAAGATGGCTCAATTAGGAGTTTCAAGGAGTTTTATAAGGTGGTCTTGCTTTAATATAGAAGACTTATAAATAACAAGTTTATTTGTTTAAAAGAAATAAAATTGACAAGCAGTAATAACATTGTTGAGGCTAAATTGCTTAAAAGCACTTTAAAAGTTTAAAATTGCAGACATAGTAACTTTGGTGTTATAAAAATCTCAGTCACGCAATCCTCATGAAAGTCATACTCGTTGGTACAATAGACAATAAAACTTCCATGAGTGTAAAATCATTTCTCCAGATAGAGAAATTTATCTAAAGGCCATATTTTTGAAGTTTAAAAGGAAACAAAAACTTCCAGTGTTGAAATAGAAGCTGATAGCCTGTTGTAACTCAATTAACCGATGATTTTTATGGTAATTTTTGGGAATATTATTAAATAACCAGACAATTTGGATAGTTATAATGGAAGTGATGGAATACTGAGCATTAAATGATGATCAAATTACCAGAATTTATCTTACTGGGTCATATTACACCTATTTCGCATTACGTACTTTAATCCTTCTGCTAGCGCGCAACAAATGTTACGCCATCAGCTTATTTTCATTCGGGCAAGTTTGATTCTGGTTTATTCTAAAATGTATTACTAGTGTACTGTCGGAATAATAGTAAACATAATAATAAGGTGGAAGAAATATGAGAGAAAATAAAAATCTTGAAAATATCATGAGAAATACATATGGAATGGGATGTCAGTACTAAACTTCTGATGAGAATCAGAGCACTAAGTGACATCCATTAGCCATTTTCTCACTCCCTCCTGTACTAAATCACATCTTGCCAGTTGTTTGAGTGGGAAGAGAGGCTAACTAGGGACTTCGGCGGCCCCCATTACCTTCTCACACTAAGCAACAAATGCTGTAAATGAGAAGGCCTGCTAATGTTAGGACGCAAGTGCGCTTTACCCATACCAATTTGTAAGAAACTTCACTATGGCTTTCCCTCTTTCAGTTTAAATGAAAATGGGCAAATTCAGCATTGCGTGTTTATCGTTTTCAAATTGACTTATTGCAGCTATGTTCCATACTAATTTTAAGCTACATGACTAGTCTAGTAAAATGGATATTAAAACATAAGACCTAGCATTGATGCTTATTTTAACCTAGGGTGTGCTATAGATGCGCCCTGAAGAAGGAGGTAACATCCTTATGGTCAAAGAAGTTCTTGGAGGTTGGGTTAAAATTTTCACTAAATCAACTAACGGCTCTTTAAATAGCCGAAGTGCCATGGACAGATTTCTGCTTTAACCGTTTACATCGAACAATTTTGTAATGAATCAAGAGAGGTAGAGTAAAAATCAATGTTCTCTTTTCAAATTTGTGATCGTTTCTCTTTTGGCTTGTATCTCATTGAATTTTAAATGCTTCGAGAGAGTATTTCAAACCTTTTGTGATTATAAAGGTCAAAAGAATGAAGTTTTGGTATGATCTATATGTGTTTGTTATTCGTTTAATTATGAATATCTAACCACATTAATTAACTATCAATCGGTAAGTGCAATAACTTTATGCTGAGTTCACTCGTTTAAATTTGAACAAATCGCAATTAATTGTTTTACTTATATGAGAAAGCATGACTTTCAAGCGGAACTTATTTTATATTAGGAACACAAGAACGTCTGGATGACTACAGACATCGAGCCCAAACACCAGCTTGCTATGTTAAACCAGGCCTCCCCACGAAATCTAGCCGACATCATCCACGATTCTACCGGAGCTCGCATCTGGTTTCCATCAGGATCTTCTACAAATTCCGTCTTGGACATGCTTCAACAACAGCAATCATTCAACAATCAGCTACCGATCTCTCCTCGTCGAAGTGGATTTTACGCTCCTCGCTTGTGCCCCAACCCAAGCCTTATAACCACCTCATTCTTGAGCTTATTTCAAAGACCGGAAGCTCGTACCATGATTACCATATATGGGAGCGTTAATGAATGCTTCATGGCTCGAAAAACACTTATGGTATAATAACGCTTTTTGAAAAAATATCAAACGACCTGAATAGCTATTATTCGAACATTAAAAGAAACATCTTGAAATAAGCCACTAAAATTATAAAATCTGATTCTCTAGTTTACTTATTTAGAGTCCAATTGATCCATTAATATCTTGGTCTGTCTAGTCTATCGTAATCAAGCATCCTTGATATCGTGCAATTATCTAGAAGCTCACTATATATTACCCAACTTAGTTTAACCAAGACATGAAGAGAATGAGAGAATCAAATTTTTGGGGGCATGATCTTATCTTGACGGGGCTATTTATAGAATTAAATCGTTATTTATATAACCCACTTTCGAAGATCGATCTGCCAATAGCAACTCTTGCTGTCACATAGGGTCAAGATTACAGGATCTAAAATAGTTGAGGTATATCCGTGAGAATTTTTTCCCAAATTCGTCTATATTCTTTGGCAATAGCAGATCTGGTGTAAAAATAATCTCATTTTAAAGTGAGTATCTTTAAATATTTTGCATAATGTTTTTGCTGAGGGACCCTTAAATAATTCTATTAATCCCAACAGTTAATATCACGAATTCATGAATACTTTTCATTTTAGAACCTTCTCCCAGTGTCTCTGATTGCAGAAATGTCAAATGAAGAAGCCTTCATCCTTTCCCGAATGGACTTTTCCACCTTCAAATCAGCTTACGACGTCACCATTTCTTTCCGTTCTAAGGCCCGTAATTCGTTTCGTGTAAGTCAGTTAAAAAGGCATAGAATGGTTTGGAATACAATAGTTTGCTTAGACTAACCCAAATGAAGAGTAAACTGATAATTAAAGAGGCAAAATCATTTTTTTCATGAAAAATAATTTGACTAAGAAACTAGTTAGGCATATTCAGTACTGATGCTTTCAACAATGTGCACGAACTGAGACTATGAACTAGTATCTTTGAGAAATCATGACTTGGTAACTGATTTAACAATTCTTAGCACCACACTGGTTTCCCTACTTTTATAGGACGCTTGTGCTGATCACATATTCAAATCGGAAAAGTTTCCACTTGGGTGTCAAAGCACCATAGCGGTATTTCAAACTCTTAGTAGATTTATACATATGTTAACGCCTATATTGCTTATCTGAACTAATATGCATTTAGATATAGTGTAATCGGTGTTAGGGTGACCTTTAAAGATATATTTCATTCAATCTTTTTAATTGATTTCAGCAATCGATAGTTTTGAAGACCAACGAAGCAAACGTTGACGCCTTATACACTGTCTACTCACAGCTAAAATCTTTAATGTATTCTGGAGGTAATTCAATTATCTTTTCATTGGCAGTAATTACTGTCAGTTTTGAGTAATATCAAAATAAACCTACTATCTTTGTATATGGAGCTAAAGTATTTTTTTGCCATCATTAAGCAATGCATGTTATTTTTCGTAAACCAATGCAAAACTATTAGCGCTGTTTCGAAATTAATTAATCGGTCGATTTATTTCAATCTATATTTTTAATATCAAGCCTGTGAGGAATATCAAAATGCAGATCACAGAGCGACGCTTGATAACTTGGAGGGCGTTCATCATAGTCTCGATTCTGTATCAATAACCCATTCATTACTGCCAACTTCCACCTTAAAAGAACGTGAAAGGAATAGTGAATTCGAGAAATTAATAACAAATAGAGGGTTGAAAAGGTCGCTAAATCAACTTCATGGACGCCCTGGTCTCTCCGCTTGGTCGGAAAGCAATTCCAGTCCTTCGCCAAAGTCGCCTTTCATGTCACCTTTCCAACCAACATTTCCTTCAAATTTACCTCTGGATAGCTCAGAGGTGTACTCTCGGAAGTGCGAAGGCTTCATGTTACCAAGGAATGGTGAGTGTGAATTCCTGAAATTTATAATTTTAATTTAATTTAACTTTGTCGAATCATAATTTTTAAATCATCTGTAAAAACCCGAATCTCTTAGCTATTAAGCAATACATAAAACTAGTAAGATTCCTGAGAGCTAATTAGGGAAAAAATGTGTACTATTTCTAGATAATTAGATTACTCTTGGGAAGGACATTTGCAGGAAATGAGAATAATTTAAAAAGAGGGAAACCGAAAGTGTGGGTCAATATGGAGAATAAAACCTGGTGTCATATAGAATCTCTGCCTTGCGATAACCATTGGGTTTCCTTTGTGAGTATGATTAACAACCGGTTAATAGGTTTCGTCTTTAAGTTCAGATCCACCAGCTATCAAGTGGGTTCGAAATAATTTACTATAAAAACTCGTTAAATACGCTCCATGTGGGACCTTTAAAATATTTTAATCATGAATTTACACAATTTTGTTATGTCATTTGCAAATTCATAAACAAATAGATACTAATTAATTCTTTCTAGACCTTTACATCTATTATGAATTTCATGCAAAAGGTACTGGTCTTGTTCTCAGTTTCTATTGAGCATGTGAATCCAGTTTTTTCAGGTTGAGATAGCATCAAAGCCAAGTCTGGTTCCAGAGTTAGTTTGGCAATTCAAGATCTTAATTGTATGCATGATGATTTTGCCAATGTCGCCTTCATCATACAATGGATATCTGTTCACATAAATCTCTTAACATATGAACATTACCTTCATACTATTGTACTTTAAATGTGCCTATTAGCCCTAATTTAATTTCGTTTATCCTATTGCTAGACCAATAACTAATTAATACACTTAATGTAGCAATAAATATATAATGAAAATAGTATGAAGAAAGAATGAAAACTATTATAAAATAATTTCATTTCATGAGCCTTGCTGTTTAATTTCTGAATAAACTCATTTTTAGGTTAAATTTATCTTATTTTCGTTTTTTTGATACATATTTTCGTGTAGATGTCAAGGTAAGGTCTTCTGAAGAAACGGATTTCCTTGGTGGCATTTTCGAGAAGTTCTCGCTTTCACCTAAAGATTCTGACGGAACCTCTCTTCATTGTCAGCGTGGATTCGATGAGACTCTGAATCGATTTGATTCAATGCTGCATCTCGAAAGGAAAGATCAGAGGTATTCTCAAATTGTACAACTATCAGACTGGAAGTAGAATGATTTTATATAGCAACTGTGTGCTTCAATTTAATACCGAAATTATTAAAGAAATCTATAATTTCCAGTTGCGAAGTGGTTTCATTGGTTTAATTAAATATTTATAAATAAGCACACGCACAATATTCAAGGTAAAGTATGTAAAACCATATTCAATATCACAAATTCTTAAGAATCAAGACAAGAGGTGTTCGCATTTAGAACACTTATAGGAGATTAAAATACAACAATTTGGTATTTTGTATAAAACTAGATCCTATGGAAGTTATCTAAGAACCACATATGCGGAATTAAAAGTGTCTTAATTAATCGAGCAATAAACACTGTAGCTTTTTGAATTGTTGAAATATTAGTACAAATTGCATCACTAACGCAAAATACCGTAGTGAATGAAATGTGTCAATTTAGCTCTGTTGTTAGATGTTTTTGTTGTCAATTTAAACATAAAAAGCGACGAAAATGAGTGCAAACCTTGCCAAATTTCAAAAAACTTGTTTAAGATCCTAAATGCGATTTCGCCGTGATCGTTAATATGAATGGAAGCTAATATTTTGACATCTGAACTCTTAATCCATTAAACTGCTTAGTGATTATTTATAGTTGAATACAAGAGTGGTCTACTTTAAAAGTAAATATTTTGGTACGAGTTCATTAAAGGTAAAGTTAACTTGCACGAAGTCACATCTACGCTTGTTCTAACTACATTATTTAAAGTATGTAGGAAGTTACACCTTGTTCTTAATGTATTTAAAGGTTTTCTATTGTTATTAACCAAAGGTACCAACTATAAGCATTTTCCAAGGCATTGAAGTTGTCTTTTTGAATATTATACTTCAGAATGACCGAACCAATGTGGCCGAAAATGTTACCCTCATGGCAGCTTGATGTTTCAAACCAGGAGACACAAAGTTGCAAATTTGACAAGAGCATTTCTTCCTATTATTCAAACAAAGACTGTCAGGGTCCAGGCTCATGGAAGGACAATTTATTCGAAACAAACTACAATTTGAGGCAAGTATTGGAAGATACTATTCCATGCACTTTCGCTTCCATTATGTTACAATTTCAGTCAAATTAGGTTACTTAAAACAAGAATCAATATGATAGTTCGAGTAAGCGGGGAGGTGTTTGTGCGGTTAGTCTAGATGAACATCAGAATTATGGACTCAGAATTCAACAGGTGCCATTGATTGAAACTAAGTTACATCAAACTTTAAGGAATAAACTTGTGACTACTCGATTCTTACAAGCCATGATTATCCTTTCACAAGTCATTTTTCTTCATCTTTCAATAATTAATTGCTTTTAGATGCAGACGAAAACAAAAGACAATTCACTTTTAAAATTTGATTCTCACTTTCTAGGACTAACTTTATTCAGGTCCTACTTAATCAAAGTATTTTATTGAATTTGACATTACTGAAAAATTAGGATAATTTATCATAAAGATTTGACTTGGGTCATTAAAGTAGTCGAAGCTACCCTTAAATATTTCATTTCATTTCAGTACACAGGTAATACTTTTATTAAACTACTAATCTTAGAAGCTGGAATTGTAGTAGCTCTTCTAGAGACACTTTAATTTATCATCCATACGGATATCCGAACTCTGTATTCGGGAGTGCGGTTGAATTCGTTTATGAGCACCTAAAGTGACTTTTTTTCGGGACTATTAGCTACAGTGTTCAATAGTTAACCGACACTGTCTGTCCGCAAATAAATCAAGAAATACGACATGATAGATTGAAAGTTCATGACATTTATCCTCATTTTTCATTAGCCCCCCCCCCAGCCTCTCCTTATCATATACGCCTTGTCTCAGATCATAAGCAAGCAAATTTAAATAAAATTCCATTTACAAAGAATCCATAGATAAATTATTTATTAAATATAAATAATTAAATAAACATACCTTAGATTGAAGTGGGCCAAACTAAACACAGCGTTATACTGATATTCAACTAAAGTGAGAGCATGACTGAAGTGACGAAGTAATTTCAGATGTTTTGCTTTCGGAGCGGTGTAGCAACTTAGAACTATAGCTTAAAATAGGTGATCACTAAACCGGATAAGAATTTGGATAATAAATAATCAAAATCTCCAATCGACCTGAAAATTGTTCCCTTAAGGAACAATACTGACAAAGAGGCACAAGTTGGAACTCAAAATTCAGCTATGTTCTTTATTTTTAAGAAAGATATATCTTCCTTTCCTGCCTATTTAGTAACTGAAGTATTTAAAGCTGTGCATCATTGTGTCCAACTCATATTTGTACTACGAACATTGACTGACCGCTTTTTGATTGTATAAAAAAATTGGGGGTTGTTGATTGTTCGTGTAACTTGATTGAGAGTCTCCAATCACTTGAATGTTCAGAATCGTCTCTGTCGATATATCTAAGTTCAAGCGATTTATAATGCTGTAATATCTTTTTAATGGTGAACATTAGTTATTGCGAAAAAGTGCAAAATTACAGATATGTACAGGTCCGAAAATGTTAGTTTTCCAGTAAGTTTTTATTGCTAGAAATGATCCTCTAGGCCAATTCACATTTTCAAGTTGAAAAATTTTCCTAAAGTCTTTTGTCAGACTTTTTCTCTATGGATATACAATTTTTTGTTTTGTTTGCCTATATCTGATTTGTCTCCTTGACTTCATTATGTTAATTAACTTCCAAAATTAGAAAAATAAACGTATTGGGGACTTTAAAGTTGGAGTCGGACCCACTCAATGAATTAATTAATAATATTTCGTCTCTTGACAAAAAATTTAATAATCACAAAATATCTCTGTAAAGCGCTCTATATGCAATATCAATTCTAAAATTATCCATTGAGCAGCTTCTATTGAGATGATCTCTAATTCATTAGGAGCTAGCTCTGGGGTATATGAAAACTATTTGGAATTGCCAGAATAGTATGTTCATGACACAAAATTGCCTCATTAGGGTCAATTAATGAATAACCTTTGCTTAATTAAATCTTGTTTACTTGAATGCCACAAAGATCGTACGTTATTCCTCTAGGAATACCTTAAAGATTCTAACCCCGTGATCAAAGTTACGAACTTTTCAAATGATTGTTTTTTGAAAGTTACGCATGAGCAATATCGTAATACACGCAAGATAAGTTATATATTTCTATTTGCGGGAAACTTTGAAGTTATTGGTACGACAAATAGTCTAGTGCCTATGGAGTCGGGTCTTTTTAACTTAAAGGCTTTCAGCCTATTAGAACTTTCGAAATCTGCTATGGTTCTTAATTGTGAACCAAAATCGGATTGCTTGATTGAACGGTTGGTCATTATTTTATATTAGTCCTCAGATCAAAACGGCTATTTAGTTTTTCGAGGGTAAAAAGTAATCATAAATAAAATTTAGTTACTTTAAATATTTCATTCTCTAAACGACATATTCAGAAGAGTATTTAGATAGTTTATCTAAATGCCATTTCAAAGAAATGTTATGTTTTGGAGGAGGGAGTGAAGATATTTGACAATTCTTAAAAATGTTTTCGAAGGAAAGTCGAATCACTTGGTGGCAATTTCGAAATGGGAAACTTTATTTACTTTTCCATTGCACTTCCCTTCAGATGTCAATTACGACCAGTCAGTTTTTCTCGTGATGAAATATTTTTGTTTTTAAAATTTGCAGAGGTGGAATTTTCATTTGAGGCAAATTAAATTATCTGAGGGTGATGAGCCTTTGATTTGGATAAGTTTTATACAGATTGAACGGATCTTGTCAGCAATCAAAGGGAAGAATTCAAAAGTCTACTGCACTTAGAAATGTTTTCTTCTTATATCATGTTCCCTTTACTTAAAATCCGTTGTTCACTGACCTGAAACGACACAGGAAATTTTCGCTAGCGGGTTGCTATCATTGAGATTTTGGAAAGGCGATTATTTAGCCGCGAAAAAGAATCAAGACTCAATTAACACACATTCATATTTGAAATGTGATATTTGAAAGGAAATTTATTTATTTATTTCAAATGGCAGGCGTTATGATAGGTATCATTAGCCCTTTAGTTGACTTCGGGCTTCACAGAGGGGAAGGAACATCAAAGTGGCAAAAAGTCGAGAGGGGGGACAGAATAATGATTCACAGACGTAAAAGAGACAGAAAGACAAAGGTAGAAAAAAGGTGAGTACTGTGGAATTAGTCGAATATGAAATGCGGTGGGGTCTTGGTAGTTTGAAGTTAGAAGTCAACTACCGATTAATAGACTTTTTTGCCATATGTGTATACGTTGCTCAGGGTGCACCACGTGGAGGTAAGTCTATCGCACACCCTACTCTTTGAAAGGAAAATGATGGGGTATATTCTAGGGCGTATTTGCAACGAAAAAGGTGAGAACGTAGTAGTGATCACTGTCTTTAGGACAACTTTACCGAGGACATAAGGGATAATGCTTGGCTTTCGTGCTCATAAATGAAATCATTTGGATTTAATTAGCAGTAATTTGCTTTCATTTACCGTTTTAGTGCAATTAGTGCCTCTGAGACTGGGTAAATTTCAAGAAATGAGTAGTATGATAAATCAGCTTCCTTACCTGATTAACTGACATTTATTGCGCACATATATTTGTTTATTCAATATATCATTTCAG